TGAATAACTCTTCAATAGTTCAAGTGATATATATATATACATCTTTAGTTTGCACTATTATAGTATATCCTTTAGAGTTTTATTTCATATAATTTGATTCATAAAAAATCTTCAAAAATGATTACTATCATTTGAAATATTTAACGTTTTCATTTTATGTTTATCGATAAATTATTTCAATGAAAGAAAAGTGTCTTTGTCGATAAAAAAAACTATTTCTCTTGATTGTTAATATTCTCTAACTTGGTATCAAAGTTTAATAGCTTCAACACGATCCTACAAATCTTCTTCATGAAATTGTTGGATACGTTATACCTTGCTTAGCTAAGTCGGACTCATTTTGACAAACATCATGAACTTTGTCGATTTGCTACTGTGCTAATTCCACTAAAGGGTTGAAAAATATCTTGAGTACAGTCTACAACTAGAGCTTTAGATTTTTATTCAGTTTTTTTGTAAAGAATATTTCTTTCTCGTCAATCGTCAATTTAATAAGCATGATCATATACATTTCATACATTGTTCCCAACTGCATTCAAAAGCAAAAAAAAGAAAAATAGACAAGAGAAGCCTTTTTTAATTTAATTTAATTTAATTTTGTTTTTATTTGATTAATAAATAAAATTCATTTAAAACACAGTGACATATCTGATAACAGTATCTATCTGTGACTAAAACCATGCAGAAAGAATTGACACAAGAAAATAAAAATTAAGCAAAGATTAGAAATGAATTTTTTCTATGATTGGTAAAATTGCCTCAAATGATGGCCGTTTCGTCGGATCATCATGTGTACATATGTGAATAAGTTTATCAATATGAGATGAAATACTAGTTGCTGGTAAACGAAGACGTTCATGAACAATCTATTCAAATAAAATTTATTTAAAGAAAAAAAAAATTTTACACTTCAAAATACTTTTAAACCACATTGCATTGGTGTTAGATCACCAAATGGTATACGACATGTAAATAATTCCCAGAGAAGAATAGCAAATGACCAAATATCTGACGCATTTGTTAAAATTCCATTTTCTAATACTAAGATAAAATAAATCATTAAGATATTTGTTTTTTCTTGTAAAAATTAGAATTTACCTTCAGGAGCTATCCATGCAGGATGATCAAGTTCAATATTTGATTCAAATGAAAAATGACAATCAGCTAGATTAAGTCGAGCAACATGTTCTTCATTGATCTAAAGAAAAATCAATAGGTTTGTGTATATATATATATCAGAAGGAAGAATTTTTGTAAACCACACGATCATCTATGAACACTTAAAAATGTCCAAAAATTTCCTCTAACAGGGATCTAAAAAAACGGTCATATATCTGATTTACAATAGATCAGTATATCTGTGATCTGTAGATTTTCATAGTCCGTTAACGATATGTAGTGATTCCTTTAGGTCATTGTGGGTCATCGCGTGGTTTGTATGAGCCCCAGAAGCAAGAAGGATTAGGCGTCATAGTTTTTTTGCGTGCAAAGGAAATTCCATCTATAAGTATGAATAGAATTAGACTATTTTTATTCTTTACATTTATTAACTCCTTAACTGTTAAATTTTTATTTCTGAAATTAAACAGTAAACTTCTAGAAATTTAAAATGTTTAAGAGTAACACAAAACTTGTCTTGACAAAAGAAGAGATATATAATAATTTCATATATACTACACAATAGTAATATTACAACGTCAAATTGAAAATAATTCTTTTCCTCACTAATGAATTTGAAAAATGAAAATCTTGTCTAAAAGTTTAGCACGATTTTTGCATCTATGATTTTACAAAAGGGCTTTATTGTTTTTTACATATATGTAATTGATTGTCAACTAAATTTTTTGCTTCAAATTCAATTTTAACCTGTGGACTTTGTTTGAATAGTAGATTTTGTTCTTGGATATTTACTGTGCAAACTGATGCATTTGAAAGTTCCGATGACATCTTATCAAGACCTATGAACATCAGAGAAAGTCAAAGTTAAATTTGACTCCGACTTTCTTTCGTATCCGGATGTCTCTATATAAAACATTATTGAAACTTCCAAAATGCATCGGTTTGTACAGTAAATGTCAGAGAATAAAACTAACTATTGAAAAAAGATTTATATATTAAAAACTGAATTTTCTGTACAAAATTTAGTTGATCCTATGCAGAGCTCTGACAATAATCGATGTGAAAACGTCAGTGGAAGATGGTAAAATCGATACAAGGCTCTGCGAACAAAACACAACTAATGGGTTGTAGCCTCTATTTTCCATAAAAATTATTTTGGCATAGTATTACATCAATAACAATTAAGAGGTTAAAACTATTTCTTAATATTCATAAAGGTAAGAAGTACGAGAGAAGCAGGTCAATTTTATCAAGTATACCTGTCCACCCGTGCAATGGATGTAATAAGTTTGCACCTCTCCGATAGAAAAAGAATATAGACTCATAAAAGGCAATCTGTCTATATATTTACCATAATATGATGACTATTGAGAATGAATTGTGGACGAAATGAATTTGTTATTCCATGTAAATATGCCATACCACGTCCAATATCTAAGGCTAATTTAAGAGATATTGTTGAATCCATTGTTACATCTTAAAACACAAATGCATAAATTAATGTTTTTTTTTCAAAATTTTCAATACTTGTTTTATGTAACATATGAAATAATGTTTGATTTCCATATAAATATTGTGTAAGAACAATAACATTTGGACTATCATGACATATTCCAAATGGTACAAGTAAATGTGATGAATTAAAAACTCTATTGAAAATTTTTAGTTAAAAATTAAAACAAATTATTATTATTATTATTATTACTTTATTTTATCAATTTCATGTTGAAATATTCCTGGTGTATATGAATTATGACGTAATTTAAATATTTTTGCCATAATTGGTGTATCATTATAGATTGCTTGCCAAATCTATAATTGAAATAGATTAAGTCAGAAAAAAAAACATAAGAATAAAAATGCTGAATAAAATAAACCTCATGTCGATGATTCGAAAAAAGACAACGTTCAAATTGTAATTCTCGAATATCAATTACTGATTTTGTTGATGATGATGATCCAATAATATCAAACATTGGTATTATTGAAAATCTATTATGTTCGTCAAATGGTATAATTCTTTCATCTTGTCCTTGTTCTTTTGCTAAATCTATTTTTTTATAAATAAAAAAAACTAAAACTCATGGCTTTGAATTTTTAAGAAAACAAACCATTTAATTGTGTACACATTTCTCTGGAGGAACATAAATTTAATGGTGTTTGTCCATAACGATTGGAAACAAAAAGTAAAGCATGACCAATTTCAATAAGATATTTCGCAATAGATAAATATCGATGAAAACAAGCATAATGTAATGGAGTATTTCCATGAATATTTGTTACATTTATATGTGCTTTACTTTTAATTAACTAAAAATTAATCATCA